GGACGGCAGGGAGCTCATAATACTACCGACTAGATACCAATAACAACACATCGTACCGGCTTTTTACCGCAACAACAGATCAAGCAACAGACGACAGCACGTAGGCGTTATGACTTATGTCAGACTCCGAAATGTGATATTATTGGATGCTGTAAATGCGGGGATGGCGCTGCGATCGCACGTCCCCGTCTATTTTTTCCGTACCGCAAATGCGCAAAGGGTTCCTCTGATTGGCTGCTTTGATTTGCTCTGCACGCGATAAACTGTCAAAACAAGAGAACAAACGCCAATTGTAAATATGTGTTTTAGTTCATCATCAGGCGATTATAAGGTAAGTTTAAAACACACATTTTACTCATTAATATAGAATATAATATCACTATAATTACAATTATTTGTGTAACTGTGTTATTTCATCTTAATCTTAAGTTGATGAGAGGGTTTCGGGCTCTCGTAAGACGTCTCGTAACACTTACTACATACGTAGTAACATACGAATGACCTGTTGTAATCCTTATAATACCCAGTACTGCCAGTAGCAAAACATTCCCTATGTACATTACAAATGCATGCTTCAGCGTGACCCAACATTTTGATAATTTTGTTATTTCTTAAATTTTGAGCCATTTCTAAGCAAACAATTAATACACAGGGCATTATCAATTCATACAGAACTATATAGATTATGACTCTATAACAAAGAATAATTCAATTTGGGTTTTTTCCACGTACCTAAACTATCCATTGCTTTAATTAAGTCCCACAAAAATACATGTATGTAAAAAAAAAAAATTAAAAAACGTGTGACAGTTTTAATTGAAACTATAATCATATTGTACATACAAACTAATTTGGTCTGCGTATATGTATTGCTACCCTGTTTCTTAAGAAAGTACATGAAAGCATTGGTTGTAAAATGACTTTATTACTTGGAAGCATATGAAATAAACACCTTTCAGATGCCAAGATGAATAATACAACCTATTTCTAATGTGCGGTATTGTTTGTTTGTTTTTTATCACCTTGACGATCTGCAGCCGGATATCCGCGAAGCGCTCAAACGCGCGGTAGCGGCGCACTTTGCCAATTTCGTGCCCCTCTTCCACGCCATTACTGAGGTCCTTTTCCTAGGGTTAGGTGAAAGCCTGCTTTTCGCCTGAATTGAGCAGTTCTGCCCATTGCACGAGGGATCGCCACTACCAGTTAGGTAGAGACTGCGCTAGAAATGCTCCCAATTCTTTGTTCGCTGCTAGGCGCGCTTTCTTTGCTGTAATAATGGAGTTTTTTGTTCACATTGTAACAATATATAGCGCTCATGCGTAGCGTTGACTGGCTGACTTTAGAGGATCCGATATATAGGAACAATACATGTCTTCGCTATTCGTAAAAATCCAGTTACAGTTAGTTTCATTGCACTCTTATCTTGCTATTGTACTCTGCCATAGTTACACTCCTCATCAAACTAAAGATTCAACATGGTGGCAGAAGTGCTAAACTGTGAACAGTGAGAAGCTTTAACTGTAAGTGTTCCGTAAGAATTCACGTGAAATTCCGGAGTGCTCCGACTCGGACGGCCCAAGGATAGAGAACATGGGTCCCAATAAAACCAATGTGCCTCGTACTCGTGATTCTACAGGCACCTATAATATATATGATATCTAACACGATCCCAATGCGAGCATCGAATTGTATCCACACCTACGAATACTTCTATTACTACAAGTACATGTTACAATAATTACTAGTAAGTACTACAGTACTACTAAGTACCAGCGACTACTAGTACTAGTACTAGTTACTACCAGGAGCTAATAATGACAAACTGTGTTACCGGTACTAGTAAGTTACTAATATTAATAATGACGACTCCTGTTAGTGTTACTAGTACTCCTACTAAATATAATAAAATATAATGCTAACTAATACGAAATCTATTTACTACCAACTTCTTCATGTTTCTATAGCATAGGCCTACTCCTTGACCTATTATTGCACGTTTCCTGAAATTCCGTCGAAATCCTACGTCAACGTACGCTGCCGCTGCATTGCTCTCGCGGCGCGACTGTTGCACGCTTACACTAATATATATAGCAGGTAGGAAAGCGTGCTGCCAAAATTCGCTCGACGCTCACTTCATTTGAAACTTTCACAGCACGAATACACATTCAACAGCTTCCATCTTGTGTTCTCCTTGAACAACAGTATTCACTTGTATTAAAAACATAATGTCTCTGTCGTACCGAGCTGTGTCATGCGAAATCACGCAAAAGACTGACGAAATTCTCGCGTTCGCGAACCTTGCCCAGTAATGGAAATGGCTGTCAGTCGCAACACTGCAACGTTTTGCAACGTTCCAATGGCGAGGCTCTTACGGGAGTTGGAAAGCAGTGCGCCGCTCGCGCGCCGCTATAGCCCATAGACTGGCACTCCGTCCCACTCTCGCTTAGCTTAGTCACTCGATGGGATCGAGGTGGGAGTGAGTCCCAGTCTATATAGTCTTTGTCCTTGCAGCCATTTCCATTACTGGCAAGGTTCGCGACACTGCGAAAATTTCGTCAGTCTTTCTGTGATTCGCGGACACAGCTCGGTTACGAACAGAGACATTATGTTTTTATAACAAGTGACACTGTTCACGTCCCAAATGTCTGCCCTCTGGTGTCCCCCACTAAAATTGTGGACTGTTCGCTGGCAGCTATGGATCGTGCGCCGGTCTAAGCATTCGGCGCACGGATCCATAGCTGCCAGCGCTGCATACTGTCGTAGGACTTCCCGCCGGTTGCGTGCGCCTTGCCGCGGACTGCGCGCAAGATCTGCGCTCAGCACTTCGGCGTCAACACCTCCCTTTCGGCAACGCTTCTCTAGTATCCCGTCTCATCTGGTTCTAATTAACATTAATTATGGTGCAGATCTACTTTACATTTATTAGAGAACTGAAAGGCCAATTTGGTATGGACAGATTTTGCTGAAATAGTAAATCCATGGATATGAAAGAATATGATACTGTCCTGAAATAATACGTTTTTGAAACACTGTAGGCCTACACAGGGTGCGAAATTAACGCTCGCACCTCGCAAAATGCCGAGTGGATTTCCGAAATTGCGAGTAGAAATATAAGCACTGCACTTTATTGCGAGTGACATATAATCTGTTGTGATGACTATCAAAATCCAACATCCATATCAGCGCATTTTAAAAGTAACAAGTTTCAGCATAAGTCATAACGCGAACTAGACAAACTAATTCTTTGCCAAAATTATAAACACGTACTGTCTACAAACTGAGTAAGGATTATAAACCTCGCGCGATTGGCTGCTACGAAGTATTCATTTTCACGCTTTGTAGGCCTGGTTAATAAAGTCGTCTCAACATTTATAACATTTATAAAATAATAAAAAAGCATAATATATAAAAATACGAGTGTTTGCGCGTTTGCGAGTCTGAAATTTGACCACTGCAAAAAATTGCGAGTGCGCTCTCAAAAGTTAAATTTCTACCCCTGCTACATGTACATTGCGTCTACATTAATACATCAGTTGGATGAAATAATTTTGTATGAAAAAGTATGCATATATTTTGAAGGCTATAATGTCACAACATATATGAATTGTTTCACTTGAATTAATGAAGAGGCGTAAAAAATAATGATCAGTTAATCAAATCACATATTGAATAGGGGTACATTGTTGTTGGCGTACATTATTGTATCTATCTTTACTCTAGCTCTAGTACTCATAGGCCGCCGGAGCTATCTTTACTCTAGTCCGCAATGCAGACGTAAACTCCGCTTTGCTAATCTGAGGGTGCGGTTTATTACTGGGTCTGCGTCCCCATTACGCCCCTTGCGCCCCATGCGCGCCCACGCCCCCTGCGCCCATTGCGCCCCCCTCGTGCCATTACTGGGTCTGCGTCGCGCTCGGACTATCTTTACTCCTGCCGACGAGCGAAGGGCTACTCCAACTAGCATGCAGCGCCCCTTCCCACACTCAGGATATACCACTGCACAATGCTAGCCACTATTTTTACAGTGGGCGGAGCTCCGGCGAAATCCAGCACAATGGCACGCCAACGCCGCGAAGTCGCCGCTAACAAAACATTAGGAAATTTCTATGATTTGCATGTTGTGTTGGTGGACAAATTCTAGATGTTTTCAGCTGAATACGCAAAAAATGTGTCAAGACTAATGTTCGAAAATACGTATATTGGCAAGCATCCCGAAAATTCATGATAAATACGTGAACTTAGTTTAGTAAACAGCGTAATGATTGAAAGTAGTAAATGGGCGCACTATTCGTATCACTATTTTATCAAATTGCTCATGAAATAATGGCGCGACTTTTATTATCTTTGCAGCTTTTATAAGTACACACCGTAGACAATAGGACAGGAGTAACGGGATCGCTGTAAAACTTATAGTAAAAAAGCGTAAGAAATTCTTACGGAAATCAGCTTGTGGCAGTGGTAGACACTGATCTCTATAATATAATCTATTATCTCTAATCTGATCTCTATAATAAATAAATCAGCTTGTGGCAGTGGTAGACACTGATCTCTATAATATAATCTATTATCTATAATCTGATCTCTATAATAAATAATATAATAAATAATATGATTATATTATAGAGATCAGTGGTGGTAGAATTGAGCCAGAGCGAAAGCGCCATCTGTCGTGGAGTTTGGGGCTACTCGTACGAGTACGTATACCTACGTATGTAGTAAGTGTTACGAGGACGTCTTACGAGAGCCCAAACCCTCTCATAACTAAGATTAAGATGAAAATAACACAGTTACACAAAGAATTGTAATTATAGTGATATTATATTCTATATTAATGAGTAAAATGTGTGTGTTTAACCTTACTTATAATCGCCTGATGATGAACTAAAAACACATATTACAAATGGGCGTTTGTTCTCTTGGCTTTTGAAGGTTTATCGCGTCAGAGCAAATCAAAGCAGCCAATCAGAGGAACCCTTTGCGCATTTGCGGTACGGAAAAAATAGACGCGGCCGGCCGGCGTCGACCACAGAAATAGTGGTAACGACATGCAACTATTTTTTTGTAACTGAATAAGTTCGTTTTGGCGCCATTTCTACATTCGCATTTCTCACTACTGGCTGCGGTGGCACACCAGAACCCTTGAGCGGCTTCTAAATAATTTTGAGAGTGCTTCTTGTTCGTAGTTGAGTTGTTTGTCTGTTCAAGTTGGGTTACCTCACCTGCACTCCTACACGCTGACAATGCCTCGCAACGTTGAAATCAAAGCGTTGGTAAAGAACTTCGATGCGCTCAGAGCGAAAGCAGCGAAGCTCGCGAGAGCGGAAGGCACGCTCATCAAGCAAGCGGACACATTCTTTGTAGTGCCGAACGGTCGGCTGAAGCTGAGAGAGCTGGAAGGCAGCGAAGCACAGCTAATTTATTATGAAAGACCAGACGCCGTAGGGCCAAAGCTCAGCAACTACTCAATTTCGCCTGTAAACAATCCTCAGTCGCTAAAACATACGCTAGGCCAGGCACTCGGAATCGTCGGGGAGGTTAAGAAGGAAAGGTGGCTATACCTCGTGGGCAACACGAGGATTCACTGTGATAGAGTCCAATTCATAGGAGACTTCATGGAGTTAGAGGTTGTGCTCGACCAGCAACAGCAATTGGAAGAGGGAGACATAATTGCCAAGGACCTCATGGAAAAGCTGGGTGTCGAGGAAAAGGACCTCGTACATGGGGCATATATGGACATCATTTTGAGTAAAATTAAAAATTAGTTAAAGGAAGTGGCTATGACCAACATTGTGTTGGTAATAAGTAATTAACTTCCCATAATGTAGCTCTCCACGTATCTCCATCATTCACCCAGCCACTGCATGGATGAAACAAGCTTCCGTGCAGTAGTTTTGACATGTCATGTGACTATTTGCATTGATATAAGTTATAACTTTCTTTTAAGCTTGGAGATTGAGAAAAAGCTATAGCTTGTAAGTTGATTAATTATAGTCAAAAAGTACATAATTCCATAGCAAACCTTAGGTGAGCACAGGTTCTCTGCAAGTTTCTTTGTAAAACGTCTATTCCTTGATGGTTTTGTCTTAGGTTTAACCGTTTATGACAATGCGTAAAAAAATTTATTTTATTCGGAGAAATTTATTTTGATTTATTTATTTGGACATTGGACATTGGACATTTGGACATTGGACATTCGGACATTTAATTACATTGATTTTATTCGGAGAAATTTGGAATTTTACACTCAAATTGTGATCATGCTTATATATTATATTGGTAAGTGTGTAGCTACATTCAGTAATTCACACAAAAAAGAGCTCGTGTCATAGTGTAAAAAGTATTAGAAAAAGTTAGTCAGAGCATTCTGAGTGGCTCTGAATGTCGCGCGTGTTAATTTTTTATACAAGGTTAATTACCGGTTATTTATCTGGTCTTTGTAGACACAATGGCTTATTTTTTAACACACGAGGTGGCTCTGTTTATACTTCTGTATATATATATATTGATGACGCATCGATGACATGCATGACAACCGATGATGCATCGATGACATGCATGACACCCGATGACGCATCGATGACATGCATGACAACCGATGACGCATCAATTCATAAGTGACCCCAATGATTTCAATGACATATGTCAATGATATATATACATGACCACGATGACACGTCTATGACGTCCATGACCGTGATGACGTGTTGTCGATGATAAATAATGACAATTTTTGGTTTTCAACGAACTCTGCATATATTATTATGAGCTCATGAAACATTTTTTATAGCTAAACTTGCTCATATTGTACAGTGCGTTTGCGTAAGGTCACAGGCTGGCGATTGCGTAAGGTCACAGGCACTTGGAACGTCTCAATAAAAAAAAAGGTAAATAAACACAAAACATATTTACTACCAAAGTCTTAATGTTTCTAGAGCTACTCTATTTCGCTTATTATTGCCGCTAATTACCTGTAAATGCCGGTAAAATGCTCATCTGCAACACACAAGTACACCGCACGCACGCCCTGTGCACAAACAACATGAATAAGAGAGCAGGTAGGAAAGCGTGATCGCAAAATTCGCTCGACTCTTGCTTCATTTCACACCTTCACAGCCCAAATACACCAACAACAGCTTCCATCTTGGTATCTATGTGTAGCTAAATGTTCACTTGTTCGAATTATAACTCTGTCCTTTGTTCTTACCTACTCCCGCCAGAGATATATCGTGAAATCCTGCAGGAAATGTTCTCACCGTGAAAATGTAAAGAGGACGAGATGTCTGTTTATACACGAGTAATGGCGGCGCATTGCATGCAGGGATGAGCTGCTGCCTGCCTCAGAGCTCTGTTTCGAGGCCCGCCAAGCCAAACATAATGCGCACGCGCGGGCATGACGTCACAGACACGACTACAGTGATCGATCGAAAGTAGCGCCGTTAGGGATTTTCGGATGATACGTCCTCTTTACATTTTCACGGCGAGAAAATTTCCTGCAGGATTTCACAAAATATCTCTGGCGGGAGTAGGTAAGAACAAAGGACAGAGTTATAATTCGAACAAGTGACCATTTAGCTACACATAGATGAGTCGAAATATCCTAATGCGTAATTTAGCACCCGTTTTATTCCCCTGGGGAATTATAATATTTATTCCTCATGGAATTGTCTGGGATTGTCTGTCATTACACATTAGATCATAGAGAAACAGCATGCACAGTTTGAGTTTGTTCTCCCTACCACTTTTCTAGTAATTATAGGATGAAGTTCAGAAGGAGCCCATGTTTGCAGAGTGAGTTTGTAACATGTCATGACACCTCTTAAAGTGTCTACGTCACGAATTTCCTGAAATTTATAGTTGAAACCTTATTTTTGTAATTTTTTTACATCAAAAGTTAGTACTAACGTTACTAAATATATCCTAAAGCTCTCACCTGATATAAATGTTTTTACGTTGGTTAAATTTGCAAAAATCTTGACGATTTGAATTAGTGTTACCTAACACTATTTACACAAT